GGCCGGCCCAGTAATTGCAAATTCTATACTAAATAAAAAGCATTTATAAGAATGAAGGTAAATACATTTTCAAGTTTAAAAAAAATAGATAATCACCAGCAAACCTCAATAAAGGAAATAATAATAAAGCTACACATATGGATAGCTGACTAAACTCTGATTTCATCAGCCAGTAAATTAACGCTAGTAGGGCTTAGAAAATACTTAAATACTATGTGACAACAAAACACACAAGCCAGGGAGAGTGGCAGGTAAAGGTCATTCACCTGTCTTCTCCTCTGTGCACTGCTCAGTGCTGTGGGGGCTGGGCATTGCACACCACACCTATTAGGTCCCGGCACCACCTGGCATCAACCTTTTGCTCTCTTATTTGCTGCAGAGAGACAGTGGTGGCAGGTGGAGAGTGGCAGGAGGAGAGAAGCACTTTCAGTTTCTGTGGGTCTCAGTACCATAAATGCAGCGGCAGGTGCTGGTTTGGGGACTCTAGTTCTCTCTGCCATATCTTCAATCTTTCTCTCTTTCCTTCTCTTTCTGATTTCTGCATATGTCTTTTATGCTTTTTTGTCCTTCAGCTGCCTCTGTTCTCTGTTCTGCCCCTTCAGCTTTTCAACATCTGATAAATTTCCTTCATTAAACACCTCTCTGCATGTGATACCGAGAGTGGCCGCCGCACTACGTTCTGCTCTCTCGGTTCCTCTCTGCGTCCCTGCTTCCTGGACCAGCCTCGCCTCCCCCATCCCAGGCTCTGCAGCTCCACCTGCAGCATCTCCCTCTTGTCCACACCCATCCACTCCTGGTCCCCAGAGAGCATTTGTAGTTCTGACTCTCGTATTCTGTGACAGAGAGAAGTGCATGGCCACTCTATAAGGTCACTGAGGTGCTCCCCACACAGTGGATGAGCCAGTACTTTTTAGATTGAGAGGATGTAAAAAATGTCCCCAGTGATCTTCAGGTTTCCCTGAAGCAAACCACCTCAATCAGAGTAGCACTCTTGGGACATTTTGTAGGCAGTGTCCCAATTGTAGGGAGGGACCATAAGGACCCCATCCTGTACTCTGTCAGCACTTTATCTTCTTCTCAGACCTCCTCTGAGCTGCTGGGGACAGTGGAGTTGCTGTGTGCTGGGTGGCACTAGTGTCCAGCCTCTCCATGAACTTGTCCAATTTTGGAGGCGGGACGAAGTACTGACCCTCAATGAAGCCACGAAGGACACAGAGCTCCCGATGCCTGGATTCTCATCTCCCCTCCAAACCTCCTCCAGCTCCACATCTTTTTATGCCCTCTTAGCTTCTTCTGGAACATCATAGCTCCAGGACACAAATCTAATTTTGTCACTCTCTTCCTTAAGATCTTTCAGTGACCTAATTCCATATTCTCAAATAACATCCTGGGTAACTGCAGACAGTGACCTTTCTAAAATTGAAAACTCCCACCAGCTTGCTTTCTTAGGCAGAGTGATCTTTCTGACCTCAGAAGCACTGAGCGTCCCCTCCCGTCTTCTCTGGATAAAGTCCTCTCTTCTTCACTGTCTCTCAGAGCCGTGGCCCCTCTCCAGCCTTGTGACTCCCTGCTCCTTATTTGCTCCACCCATTTCTCAAAGTTCCGGCCACGCCGAAGTGACTTTCGTTCTTCATATATTCCATCCTGTTTGCTGTGCCTAGGATATTTTTCCTGGTCTTCTTTGTCTGGCTAATTTTTTCCCTCTATATCTTTACTTGGATGGAGCTTCCTCCAGGAAGTACCCCTGGACTCCAAGTTGAGCTAGATGTTATAGGAGCAATCCAGACCACTTATCCCCTTACCGCACTGCACTGTAATGCGCTGACCCATCGTGAGCAGACACTGAATGTTTAATGAATACAACAAGTTTGAAAATGTGCATTTTAGCATGAGCCTATAGCCTGCTACTTTCTACATAACACTGACAAGACAGCATCGAGCTTTTACAAGATGCTGAGAGAACTTACGCATACACAAAGTTAAGCACTGTGGTTAAACCTTCTGAGTTCTGGTATTTGAGGATGTTTGATGGATCCTA